TTTTTAACCTTTCTAAGACTTAGCTTCCTTATTTGTAGAATGAGAATGGGAGGAGACTTTGTAGGGTTTGTGTGAGGATCAATTGAAATAAGGTTTATATTCAGTGTGCCCAATGCAGAGGTGGGCTGGTGCTCAGAAGAATCTAGGACTGGGCTGGTTTGCAAGTCAGACTTCTCTGCCTGCTACACTCACCTTTGGGAACCAATCCCTCACCTGAGCTGACTGCAGGCCCAAAGGCCCAAAGTCTTTTGCAGACACAGAAATTGCCTAAGCTTGCTGGTGAAGCTCACATGTGAGAAATTAACATAATTCATCATTTTCTAGCCCTTTGCATGAAATTAGACTTAGCAAGAGGAGTTCATTCCATGAAAAGAAATTTCTGGTAGTAATCAGATTTCTGAGCTAGCCAAGAGAGCAGACAGAGAATATCAACATCGAAGATGTAAAGATCTACCAGATCTTCCTGCTTATTTACCCCCGATGATGACAACCACCACTGGGACACAAGGAATCCACAGCCCTTCCGAATGCTGAAGAGCGTGTGACAGTTGGACTCACAATCAGAGCCTAGATTCTCAAGGGGGCCAGAATTTTCAGCACTTACATGGGACAAAGAGGTAACATTTAAAATGTGTATCCCTGAAGGGATGAGCTACTAGTAAATTAATTATCTTCTTTGCCTCTCTCAGCTTCTCTATACCGTTTATTGTTAGCTTCAGTTTCCCACTCCCAATGCCGATTTTGTGTCTTGACCTTTGTCCTCAGTTCTGGTAAAATGCAATATCACTAGCTGGAATAATTGGGGAAGAAAAGAAAGGAAAACTGGGAAGTCCTGAAGGATCTAGATTAGAGAAACAACTTTGGACGTGGTTGGCATTGGAGGAGGTGGACTACACATTGATCTGGGGTCAGATGACTATGGTTCAAGACCCAGCTCTGCTCCTTACTCATAGGGAACCCTGGCAAGCCTTTTGACCTCCATGAGCTTCAGTTATATAATTTGCAAAATGGAGGTAACAGTAATCACCCTGCAGTCTCCCAGAGCTTGTTGTGAGGGTCAGATGAGGCACAGATTGTGACCAGCTCTGTACAGTTCTAAATAAACCCAAGTTATCCTGTTAGAGCATATCTCTTAGCTCCTCACCCTGAAGACCCTCATCCCTCCACAGAACTGTTCCCAATTACTGTCCACTCTAAGTCATCTAGAGAGTGTCTGACTCATGCCCCTATGCCTAACTGCATGAAGGGGCTTTATGATCACTGCCTTCTTATGCCTTTCAATTTGCTGTATCAATCTGTTGTTCTGTTCATTTTACAAACATTTGCTGAATATCTAGCAAGGCTCAGACAGTGTGGTATGTGCTGGGGAGAGATATAAATAAATCATGGTGCCTGCTGTTCTCTAAGAATAGTTAATCTTAGACAACTTACCTACTCTCATGCTGGTAGACTCACAATGAATCTCAAGTATACCCCTTCTGGCATGAATGACACCTGTTGCTTATTTCTATATTATCTGCGGAATGTTTGTATTTTTTTAATCCCTAAACCTAGCCAACCCAACACTTTCCTTTCCTGGTGGCTCAGAATCCTAACTCCATAATTACTAGTGAGGCCGTCAACATTTCCCCAAACCCAAAAGGGTCGATGACATGCTTTTAATTCTTCTTTTTTCAAGGAAAGAGGATTAAGATTTATCCTCTCCATTTCCTTGAAGGAACCTTCTCCATTCCTACAAGCAGACCTGCAGCCACTCTCATCAGAGCTTCTGGATGGTGGACGGAACCTCCTGCTTGTCCCCGTGTCTCCAGCTTGTCTCCCCTTCACCTCACCCCCCAGGGCTGCCAGACTGATCTTCCCACCCTGACTCATCTGACTTCACAGGGACACCTTCCCTTTGGTCTTGGCACCCAGGCAGCCATCTGGGTCACAGTATCTCGCACACACGCACTCGTGCAGTCCCTGCAAATGATCCCCCTCAGTGGCTAAGCTGCTTTAGTTCGGGATCAGCGATCACATTTTAATGAATGCAACTTCTTCTCTCAAAGAGAAGAACTTGAAAACTAATTCCATTAGCTATTGGGCAAGGCCACATTATAAAATAGTAAAGAACGGGCTCTGAGATTAGCGCCTGAGCATCTCCTGATTCCTCACATCGCAGGGACAGGAGCAACAAAGCCGGGACCCCGTGGATCGCTCTCCCTTCTGCTGATGGCACTTGGGTGTTGGCAGAGGCGATGAAATTCTAACATTCTCAAATAGACAGCAGATAAATAAATGCCTTTAAAAAAAAAAACAGACAAGTTGTAGCTCGGAAATTTTTCAGTTTTTCTCATTGCAAAATCAATACCCGTCAGCAGTTTGAAATTAAAGGCAAGATTAGGCCTCAGTTTTATACATGCCTTATTGTATTCCAAAAGCTTTCTACTCAGTCAGATAAATCTCCTTTAAGAGGATTAGGAAACTTTCATTATCTTTATCTAACCTGAACTAACACTAAATCTGAAAAATTAATCTATGGACTGGACAAAAGCCGGTAGCTGCTGGGAAGCAGGAGGGTTCTCGGACTTCTTTCTAATTGAGCAGTGGGGCCTCTGCTTCCACCCACTGGAAATTCAACTGGTCTCCAAAGAAAGAACACGTCACCCCAGTGCTAACCAAGACAGAGAGAAAGAAGCTCCTCAAGCTCCTTTTAACCTCTCAGTAAATGTAAAGACCGATCTGCCAAGCGTTCCAAAAGGAGGTTCTCTCCTGCCACCTCTGCCCTCCCTGGCTTCTGCATTTGATTTCACAGGTCACCTTACACCCCCAGAGCTACAGGGTCACTTGGCCTGGAACTGCACCCTGCGGGGAACTGCCCTCTGAAGAACCCACCGTTCTGCATCTTGCCTGTTCTCTGACTCTTTCTGGCCCAAACCTCAGAGGCCCACAGGAGACACCAGTGACTTCCATATCCCTCCAGCCCAAGAAATTGCTCCAAGTGCCTTTGGACAAGCAATAGCCCTGGAGCTCTGCACCACTAGCCTTTCACAGTCTGGATTGACTCTGACATGCTTACACAATCTGTCTTATTTCCTGAAAAGTGATAGCCTTGTTCTGTTTGAGCCTGTTTCTGTACCACGCCTGACAGTTCTTTTTTATTTCAGTGCTGCATTTCCTGAATTTGAAGATAACTTTGCTGTCAAGGCCACAGAGGTGCCATGGAGGCGTCACTTTCAATGCGGAGAATTTCAGCTCCTCTGGAACCAAGCCCAGGTGGCAGGCAGGGTAGTGAGAACTCACACGCCCTTGTTTCCTGCACCCCCGGAAACTGTCAGCAGACATTCCGGCTCATTTCCAATGACTCATCTCCCTGAGTGCCTCCACAACCCCCTCTAAGAAACCTCAGATGTGACAGGTGTCTTTATCTCCAGATGGCAGGCCGTCTTGTAGCTCCAGAGCAGTGATTGTCACTAAGCTTTACCCCTGGGTGGGACAAGCATGGAGAATGGGAACAGCAGAGTGTGGTGACATCTGTTAGACGGCAGGCCGGTGTGGGCGGCTGAAAGCACGTGTGGGGAGAGAAGGGCTGGAGGCTGCACTGAGGCAGGGCTGAGCCATACAGCAGCCGCAGGGCCTGCCGGGAACCAGCAGCTGCAGCAGATGGAGCTCTGGCCCAGCATGGGTCTACAAATGGCCCACAGAGCTGGAGCCCTGGATGGTGTGCTGGCAAAGAGCAGCTCTAGCTGGAAGAAAAGAAGCACCATCCTGAATGGTACAGTGATTGAAGCCAGCAGAGAAGCTGACCCTCCCCAAACTCTCCATGAAAGCAGAGGAAGTGAGCAAAATAGAATTTCTTAGAAAGGCAGAGGTGAGGGAGTCCATATTAGCTAAGCAAAGGTGCCTTACACATTTCACAAACTGAAAAAAACAAATCCTTTGGATCTACTGCAGATGGCATCTGAAGAAAAGCAGTTACTAAGACTAGATCACACACAGCAGCTCCTTCCAAGAGCTCAGCTTATGGCTCCAGGGTCCGTCCAGGAGGCCCTGGGAAAGGCCCACCTGTGACCCTCAGCGTTGGAGGAAGGATGCCTGGGGATGGGCACTAGTCTGCAGGTGCTTCGTTGTTGCCCTGAGTCAATACCTGGCAGGAAGCGTCTCACACAGAGGTGGTGGGGGACAGGTAGTTGGGGGCAGTTCAAAATAAGTTCATTTGTATTCCTGCCTTGCTCTCAAATGGTTTTCACCTTTTCACAACTGCTGTCTGAATGTGTTTTGAATTCTTAAATAGTTAACATTCTTATATAGTTGATATCTGAGATGCTGACATTTTTTCAGCCCCACTTTTTTTCTTACAAAGTGACATTTGCCTGACGACTATTATATAGTTTGCCTGGGTTGTACTGATTCAGATTTTTTAAAGGAGAATGGGAGAAAATGTTAGAAATCCCCCTCCTTTAGTAATACAGATTTATTTTCAACGTAGACCTGGAGAAAACATGTTGACTAATGGGGCTGAATGAGTGTAGACACAGCAGCAATGCCAGGACTGGACTGAACAGCACCCAGAACCCCATCCGGAACATGCATAGCCATCCCCCAGGCAGGGACAGTCACAAGTCATGTGATTTCACATCAACATTATTGATCTTGTATTGTGCAGTAAGTCCATGAGAGATAATTAAAAGGCACAGAGAATAGTCCCATATGTTGTTTGATATATCTTGCCTAACTTCAGAGTACTAAGTAATTTAAGAGAGTTCAACCACCACATGCCAAACAACTTATTAATAAGAACATAAGGACCAGAGACACAACTGAGGAACTTTGCGAAGATATTCAGTACTCAGTCAAGAACCCAGCCGGTGGGAAAGAATCCTGGATATACACTGAATCTCTGGATTCTCCAGAGGAAATGTTTTTTGTGTCTTCATATGTGAGTAGAAGCGAAGACAGAGATGATGCCTCCCCTCCAGTGTCGACAAGAGCCCCAGCCCCCAAACCCAGCTGTGACTCACCTTGCACAATGAGGTGGACCCGCGAGGTCTTCGGGTGGTTGTCCGTCTGCACGGAGCAGGTATATGGGCCCTCGTCATACACGTCCACGTTCTGGATCATGATGCTGTACTGCGTTGGTGTGTTGACCAGGATGATCACACGAGGGTCTATGGACCACTTGTCATTCCCAGCATAGAGGATGGTGCTGCGGTTTAGCCAGGCCACCCGGGTGACCCGGTCGTCTATGGTACACCTGTGAATGGGGAGGAATGGAGAAGGACAGAGAGGAAGCAGGGGTAGGGGGGGAGAGGAGGGGAACATTGAGGAAGGAGGGAGGATGGAGGGAGGAAGAGAATGTTGGAAGATTAAATTATAAATGTGACTGTCATGTTTTGAGGAGTAAAAGAAACAACAACCCAGTGCTAAGAGGAAACAATCAATTATTGATGAAACTTCCTAAATCTAGGGTACCAGTGGCCTGAATCATCCTGAAGAACTGGTGACATAAAATCATTTTTATTTGATTTAAGAACATATTATGTGAATATCTTTGCTGTATATTTGCTTTCCATCTTATTTTTTCCCCTAGGCTTATATGAAAATTAGTTTATATTTCTTGAGCACATTTACCACCTTGTGGGAGAAGTGGCCCAGGGGCAGAGGGGAGAGAAAGTGGATCAGTATTTCAAATAGGTCACAGATAATCTACAAAGCAAATACTTAACTTCTTGCTAGTCAAAAATGGAGCATATTTACCTACAGATCTCCCTGGTGTTAATAGTTTTCTTGTTACCCCTAAGCTGCTCAAAGCCTGCAAACTACAATTTGTAACATGGACCAGTAGCATTCACCTTAGGATGCCAACAGTCTTTGAGGAAATCATGGCTACCTCTTAGGATTTTAGGAGATGGAGGAAACAAACAGTGAACAGAGTCCCTCCTCCTTCTGACACTGGTCTCCCCACCCACTGGAAGAGAACAATGTGGCCGACCTGCCTGACTATCATCAAGGTAAAGAGCTGACCTCTCCCTTTCACACCCCTCCCCTGCTCTTCCCAACAACTGGAAACTATGAATGTAAATGGTATTTGCGTTTTCCAGTGAATGACCTGCAGGCTATCAGGTCTAATGCATAAATCAATATGCCTGCTGGTCAGGAAGAAAATTTGCATATGTGCCCCAGAAACTTAAAAGCTGTGAAAGGAAAATGGAGAATGTGGGTCGGCAATAAAATACATGGTTAAAGGGCCCACAACTATAATGTTCTAGTTAGAACTGGAGTTGCGGCATCCGGGCAAATTGGAAGGTGTAATTGCAGCTGCACAGCAACCCCATGTATCCTAGCTGAAAGGCTCTGAGCCGGGCACTCTGGGGACAGGAACATGATTCCTGCACCTCCCGGTGAGGAGTCAGGGAAAACACACTGCCTGCCTCACCAAATCTGAGTCCATTTTGACCAAGAGATAGCATAGATCATTCTGATAGGGCTCAGGGGACAGGAAGAGCCCCACAGACACTGGCGACGGGGCAGAGAGCACACACAGGTGGGCATGCCGTTTTCCCTTGGCAGACGTAGCCTGAGTGGTCAAGGGAGCAGAATGATATGGTAGCACCAACATTACAGCTGCTGTTGAAGGCCGAAAGCACCCAGTCCAGATAGGTACTCTCCCTGGTTGGTGGGAGGCATACAAATAACACTGGCTTCCAGTCACAGAGGCCTTCTTATGCACAGGGCCTCCTGTCACTCAGCAGGTGCAGGTAACCACAAGGTAAGGGCGGGGTAATAATTAGGCGCTTTCAAGTATGGCAGGAACAGATTTTTCTCTTCAAAATTTTCTTTATTTGCTGGATTTTCAAACTACAAAAGTAAAACAGCCATGTTTAAACATGCAAACCACTATAATACAAAGATGCATCAAGGCCCAGCTAACCATTCTGTCCCCACCACACTGCAGGATCCCTGAGGTTATAATTTTGGTAACACCATTACTTTTTCCTCCAGATCTCAGTACTTTCACGTACATATTCACTTATCTAAAGATTGTGTTAATGTATTTTTGCCTGAAATGGAATCATACTTGAAGCCTTTGTTTTTGACTTGACCACAGGGAATCCCTGCACACCAGTTGCTGCAGATGTGGTTCTGTAATCGTTTCTAGGGAAGACCAAGGTCAGTGAGATGAGTTTTGGGAGCCTAGTGGTGTTCACCATTAGGACCTAATAATTCAGGATCAGCAAGTGACTCTTTCCACCTTCCTGGCTGTCCCACTGGTATAAAGCAATGCTGGAGTCATGTTTCTTCCCCATCCTGGGACCTCAGCTTCACTTTCTGCACGTTTTCCTTTTATACAACTTTCTGCTTCCCTCATGAAGACTAAAAAGCCCTAATGGATCCTCCCTGCTTTCCTCTTTCAAAAGCATTTCTCAGAAAAAATAAAAAAAGCACCTCATTCACTTTCAGACAAGCGTTAATGTGCAACTTTTCTTAATGACAGCTGTATTATCATAAAGACCAAATTCCTGTTTGAATCACTCTTTACGATGAAGTTCTGATTGTCCAATGCCAGGGATGGGCAGCTGGAAGCAGGTGGTACACCAAGACTGGGTGATGGGATTCATCGCCCCGTCCCTGGAACCACACAAAACAGTGGCAAAGGGCAAATATTCTTGCCTTTATTTAGGTCAGTTATGTAAACACTTGCATATCCTCAAGCTGACAGTTTTTTTAAATTTAATTTATAATTACAAAGGATGTATTTTTTGGTCTGTGGAGAATATTCACATTTTAAAGTTAAAATATCAGAATATTCCTTTATATACACACCATACACATACACACACACACACACACACACACACACACACACACATTTTGAATGGAATTTAAGTACCACAGTGATTTTGATACTTATGATTATCTATTTTCAAAATTCATGAACAAGCACTTCTTTATTAGTTATAAAATGTACATCATTCCTTATTTTAAATTGAACTTGTGTTTTCATTATAGTCCCCTGTAGGATTTTATCTTGATATAATATCTTATGCTTAAAAATCTCTTATTGATCAGCTATCATATTTATTTGCTTGTATAGATAGAGGGATGGAGTTAAATTTAAATTTCTTTATATTCTATGACCATAAAGCTCTATCTGATTAATAGTATTTTCTTTTAGAATGAGCTATCATTACAAGGATAATATTGATGAAGCAACATAAATAGATTGTGTACATGGTTAAGTAATAACCAAACATAAAAAGTAAACTTCTACTGGAAGTATAGCTTTTAATGGGACACGTGAGGCTTTTTTAAACTACCATGGATAAATGTCTTTACTGCTAAAATGAAATAGAGTTCTGGATAAATTCTATTCCTATTTTTGCTTTGAGCAAAATCTAGTTCACATAAATAAGCAGATAAAAATGAAAATCTTGCATAGCAATGCCACTCAATTCTTTGAACCCCTTCCGAGATATATGCAAAAAATCACATAGTAACACAGCTTCAAAAATGATCTTAATGATCTCACAGCTGACAATTCAATTAGTTCCTCCTTCAATTTCTTCTAAAGCAATGAATTAGAAAATAACTGACTTGCAGAGGGTTTTCTAGCCTAGGACTAAATGCATTCAACTTCTCAATATCTGGACAGTATACTGATAACATTTTACCGGGCCTTATCAAATGACTATTAAGTATATGTTACTGTTTCACTTAGAAGCACTTTGTTTATCCCAATATACTCAGAAAGGTGGGGAAAATTACAACATTATTTAATTTAGGGTTGTCTTCTGTCAGAAAACCTCTGTTTCTCTGAGTTCTAATTCTAAGATGGAGGGGGCATCAGCTCTGCCATAAATTTTTTGCTGATGAAATAACACGCCAGCACCTTCAGCACTTCCGTACTTCGCTTTGGCAGAACTCACCTTCAAGAGCGATCGTCTGTTTGATAATTGTTGGACAGTGGAGGTGACAAAGAAAGTGAAAGGAAATTCTCTCTTGGACAATTCGTACAGGGGAAGCAGCCAGGAAAGCAGCATCAGGATTACAGCTCTGTCTTGGGCACTTGCTTGAGCAGGCAGGTTGATTTTAGGAAAGATATGGTCTTGAAATATATTTCCTTAAAACTATCATTGTCTTTAATAAGACGTACGGCTTTAGACTGAGGACACGTGGTACAAGTTCGAGTTGCCATGGGGTCTCGTGGGGGATGACTTTGAAGCAGGTCCATGAAAATCTGCCTACCGGGGTCAGAACATCCTCAGCGCCCTGCTACGCAGCCCTTGGGAAGCCTTGCGTATCCCTCGGGGAGACACACTCCCAGCTGGATGACCAGTGCCCAGTCTCCCTGCTCTCAAACCTGGGCACGGAGGGCCAACAGAGAGGACAACCTGGATAACTCCATCTCTGAAGGCCATGCTGGTTCACTGAGTCTGCACAGCCCTAGAACCTGAGGCATGAGAAAGACACATGGTAGAATGAGGCTTCAGTTGAGGATAGTTATTTTTCCTCAATGCTTCTGTGCTTCATAAGAAGGTAGAATTTCAAAGTTTCTTGCTTTCTCCCTTCACAAAACGGCTCACTTTCTGTCCTCTAAGCAGCAGGAGGAAGAACTAGAAGAAGGACTTTAAAAAGTCTGCATAGGTGTTCTTCCTAACCAGGCTGCTTGCCTGTTGTTTGTGGCTATGTCCTGTGGTCTCATTAACAAGAAATACCTGGAGTATGATTTCTGATACTAAGTAAGGGGAATCCAAGAAGGAAGTCAAGAACATTAATGACACTTTCTGATTTCTTAAGAATTCTTCCAGGTATTTAAAACTCTTACTTCCAAGCTAATCCTACCTACTTGTCCACAATAAGGCAGAACTCACAAGAGCTCTACTTCAATGTCCACAACCATGTAGTGTTTATTCTGTGCCTCACACAGTTCAAGAACTTTCCAAATATTAAATCATTTCTTCCTCATAACTACCCTTTGAGACATGCTCTGTTATCATCCACATTTTCTGCAGATAAGGAAACTGAGACACAGAGAGTTTTGGGACTCTGAAAGCCCACAGCTGGTCCAACCAGAGCAGGAGTTGAAACCTAGTATCCTGGTGTTAGAATTCCTGTATTCAAGGCCTGCGATCTTCTCCTCCAAAAAGAAGAGCCAGTGAGTTGAGAATCCAAGTACTAAGGCCAGCAGGAGTTGGTTGGCTTTATCCAATCAGTTTCCCTCAAATTTACGGCACTTACTTAATTTTCTCATAA